TTTTGATAAGATTAGAGATTTTTTTATACTAATATTTAAATTAATCGTAGATCTATTTATCTGAATTATTCTACAGTATAAACTAAATCACAAACACAAACTTATTTATTGTGCAGTATTTTGATGTTTATTACAGCTAGTACTAGCATAAATCGATAAAGTAAAAGCTCGAATAACATAAAAACCGTTCATTTTATCATTTAAATTATAATTGATATAATGAGAACTTACTGTGTCAACAATGTATTTGAACTGAAATTGAAATGAAAGTTGACCGAAAAAACTGTCTTATTTCAAAAGTACTCGATGCTCACTTTCTGCTGATATTTTACAGATGTTTTCACTATCATGTTTAAATATTTATTTAGATAATATTTGATTGGATTTACATGTTACGTAGGCATTCAAATTTGTAGTTACTTAAAGTTGAAATTAAAATTAATTGGCTGCCGCTATCGTTGAAATAAATATAGACAATAAACATAATAAAAAACTGTTACTGAGAATTATCTTTGCCCTTTTAACCCGAATGTTGTGAAAGACTTGACCTTGGCGGGATAAGTGTACTACTCTTTTCAAGTCTTGTAATGTCTTGATAAGGAAACTAATTATATAGAATTTATTACTTTAATCGCAGTTATTAACTATATGATTGTTTCACTGTACTACTTATAATGTACTTATAATGTACCATTTTTGCTATCTACTTCTCATAAATACAAATTCATTACAAAAATCACATGACAAACAAATATTATTGAAGACGATGAATAAAGCAGAAGAGGAATACGTCGAAAAAACATTCGTCTACAAATTTCCAACATGTACTACAAACCAAGAATACACGCTAGAAATTCCGTTAAAAATACCATATCATGGCTCCACAAAAGAGTTAATGCATCGTATAATGTCATCATTCAAACTACCATGTTATGTGGAATCAGATTTGTTGAAATCTCTGCAGCATAATATCAAGGAATTTACACTGCAGTTTCATGATGAAAAAGCAGAGAAATTTATCGAAGCTGCCAAAGCAGGAAGTCTAGATTTAGAAGAAATAATTAAAAACTGGGAGAAAATATATAAGCAGAAGACAGTAGAATATTCCGATCCCATTGGGACCACAGATGAGGAATTATTTGCTGCGGCATATCACAGATTAGTGCATTCCCCGTCTTTAGAACCAATTTTGCAAGAAGAACACAAATACGGACGAGATGTTACTGAAGTAATTCAAATGAGGGATACCGACTATGAACGTCTCACACAAAAGTTAGTAACATTTTACGACTTTTCATTTCTCACTTTTTTATGTATATGCATTTAATATATGCTTAAAAATGTGAAGCATAAAAAATATGAATATTTAAAGTTTACTCAGAAATCTGACAATCTGTTTATTTGTTATTTATCAATTACCTTATTTTGATTAAAAATAATAAGTAAGAAAAAAAGAAAACAGTGTTTCAAAAGAAGGATTGTATAAATTCCAGACAAACCGACGAAATGCGCGTTGCCGTCGAGGCCCTCGAAGCAGGATCTACAGAAAAGTCCATAAACGACATGGCTGGTCGTCATTTCGAGGAACAAAGCCTATTACAAGGTTTCTGGGGATCCAAAATCGATGCTTTGAGATTAGATCAACGGCGGCAGTATCGAAATTGGATTATGAGGCTACTTGAAGAGCAACAAACCAGTATGGTATCTACGCCAATGTAAGTGTCTCTTTTGCATTTTGCTACTCAGTTTAAAAAAATTAAACAAATCTTATTGAGATAAAAAATGTACATTCTCACGCAATAGGGGTTCGCCCATAATACCGTTACCACCATTGCGTCCAGCTCTAGACAACTTCGTTCACAGCGAAGAGAAGCAAATGACAGATTATCCTCTGTTAGAAGAAAGCTTTACCATACATTTGGGATCTCAAATGAAACAAATGCACAACATACGCATATTGACTGGAGATGTGCTTGATTTTTGTCGTACAAAAAATAGCGAATCCGGGTATGTCTAATAATTTTTACTGAAGCAAAATATACTTCCTTCCTTATCGATTCCTTAATGTCTATAATAAGTCTCAGTCGATTGTAATGGAATATACAATAAAAACATACATTTAGGATGGATCCAACGCCGCAAAGATTGCAAACAGCGTTAGGATTGTATTCAAACGATCTCTGTGGATTGGTTCTTCTAAGCGATAATCATTTAGGCAGTTATTCTGGAATAACAAAAGGTGCCTTCTATATAGACTACGTCAATGATTTTCAAATTATTTTATCACTGGCTTTTATGCGCCTCTTGTAAACATGAGTTCTGTACTATTGTAGAATTATGTTCGATATGTCAATTAACCACGGAATTCCATTTTCCGCCTATCGATGAGCAATTGGAAAAGATTCGAGAAGACGTGAAGGATGCCGTCGCCTGGAGACAGGCACATCACAGGGAAGGAAGCGATTCCCATGTAGGCGACAGTATTAAAAATTTAATTTATGGTTACATCGGCATGCAAAACCGTGCGTGTTATTTACAGGCGAAGAAATCTACGATGAGCAAGAGCCTGCAAACAGGCGACATTTTCATTACAAGACATTCTAATCTGGCGCAAGTTCATGTGGTGTTCCACATGGTTGTCAATGATTCTCTGAGATCCGGTAAATAACTAGCAGTTATAAATTTCCTATGTAACAAATTACAGAGTTAAATGCATATTATTGATTTTATAGGTGATATTAATTCGAGACATCCTGCTATTCTGGGATTGCGAAACATTTTGAAGACAGCGTGTTGCAACGATGTGACAACGCTTACAATACCCGTGCTGCTTGTCCATGAAATGTCAGAGGTAATCTATCGCTTAGATAATTTAAATAGATAATTCTTAGATAATTAGGCGAAAAATATAAATAATTTACATTAACATGCCGCCATAGGACATGACGGTTGCCTGGTGCACAAAACGAGCAGAGTTAGTTTTCAAGTGCGTCAAAGGTTTTATGATAGAGATGGCCTCTTGGGGTGGAGCCGAGCTGAAAAATTTGCAGTTTCTCGTACCGAAAGTATGTTCGGCGATAAGCATAATCCACTGATTAAAAGAAGAAGGAAAAAAATTGCACTCATGTCGATATTATTCTTATCGGTTGCAGGGAATGTCGGAGGAGGTATTCGGAACGTTAGCCACAATGTTGCCTAGTATATTTCGAGTATCGAATCCATTAGTTTTCAAAGCTACCAGTACTCCACAAACTCCGAAAAAATGAACGATTCCTCATGTCTTTGTTATCGTAACATGCGTTCAAAACGCTACTATATTGTTATATATTGTGGATATGTAGTTTCAATTATTATCCGCCGCAGGCATGAAAAAAGATATGACTGAATAAATGACTTTTAATGAGCTTTTTCTTTATATTCCTTTCACACTGATTTCCCATGAAGTTCAATTGATATTTGTAATGTTAAAGAAATTTTCCACCAAATATCTTAGGATTTATTTAATGTATACTGTATTTCTTTTTTTTAATGTTATTAATAGAATTAATTACCCAAAACTGTATTATATCAAGAAAATATCTAATTACATAATTAATTATGTAATTAGGTATTTTCTATTCTATTTAACTTGTAAAATATTATGAAGCTTCGAAAATAACGTAAATTTTTATGATTGTAAAAATTTAAATTTTAATCTCTATAATTATGAAATTTTAAAAATAATGGGTAGTTTCATAACGAAATTCTAATCTTTAAGATTAAAAAGCTTCGAAAATAAAAAAAATTTTATGCATAATCCACCGATAATTATAAACGGGATGTATGAGTAACATTATCGCCGTTAGATGCGCGATACGAAGAGCGAGGTTTATCTCTCTTAGCCCGTATTTTTATTTTTTGGAGCATAGCAGAGTAGATATGTTAACGTTTTTCGGGTGCGAGTCTTGTCGCGAGAAGCAACGTCAATCCATCGTTCTAACGATCATAAATCTCACGGAGATACCGCTCAAACGTCGCTTATAATAATTGAAAAAATATGCGCGATTAATTGTGTCGGAGAGACAATCGCTGATCGAGACCCGATGAATTTGTGGTGCGCACGACTCGCGTAATCGCTGGTTTATCACAAAGTGGTACGTTAGCCTCGGTGATTCTGAATTTCTGACTGGGGACGGATTAAATTAACACTGCTACTTTCGTGACGCCAACTCCGTTTTATTTTAGAAAAAAATATTTATTTGCGGGATCATAAATAATACGTGATCATTAGGCATTGGATAAAAACACGACGATAACCCGCAAAGTTTCTAGTTATCTTTGAAGATAATACTCATAAAAGCCTAAAAAGCGTTAATATGTTCATGTTTTTGAACCTTGTTGATTTATAACTGTAAATAAAACAGCTAAATTGAGTAGATACTTATGAACTAAATTACACGATATCCGAAAAATTTCGTTATCAATTTATATACAAATGTGAAATGAAAACAACGATGCCTCTATCGACATTGTATTAATGTGATATAATACAATTTCCAGATCAGATTGGAGGAAGATTTCTGTTGAGATAAAGTAGAAAATTGTGATTTTCTGGAGCGAAGCGGATTAGCAACAGGCGTATACCGCTGATCGAAGTGCAGAAAGCATTATAATTCTTGTGCAATGATTCTTCTACTCCCCTCTTAATTCGGCACTGCAATCTTCGGCAGAGTGTCGCGGATGAATTCGTTGCCATTCCATCGGATCTTAGTGCGGGAAGCATAGTTCACGTTAGGTGGTTCTGGTAATTGGCTGATCGGGTGCATCGAAGATCAGATCGCTTAAAAAATCGACTAATCAGATAACTACTACTCGACACGATGCGGCTCGGATCGCTCGCATTTTTTGTCATCATCGTTTCGTTCGTCTCGGCGATAACGGTAAGTTGATTTTTAATTTGGCGGTGATTCCACCAATTAGATCGCTTGTGAATAAACATTTTACGATTTTCCAGGACTCTCGATGACACTTCCATCATTTGTTTCAATATCAGTTTCCGGTTGGATATCAGCTTATCGCTTTTTTAAATTTCATCGCTTTCCTGTGTGAACGCGTCTCTAAATTTACGCTCTAAAATTATGTTTCGAAAGACCTTCCTTTTTTATTTTCGATAAATACGTTACTAAATAAACAAAAATTAGAGTTTCAATATTATTCAATCGTACACGTGTTCGAATAATACGCATTACTCGTCGCATCATTACGATATCGATTCGATTTCATTGTCATTTCTCACTGAATGATCCAAAATCGTTTTATGTGAATAAATAAAATTAAAAAGAGACTTGCGTTGCAGGTAGACCTCTCATTTCGGAAAATGACGAAGGAAGATTTCTTTATAAAAATACAGAACAAAATCAATCTGCAAGAAGTGACGGATCTCAATTTAAGGGGAAACGAAATTGACAGTTTTCTGGATTGCTCTACTAATCTGGAGGCACTAAAAACATTAGATTTATCTCAGAATCATCTTCAGAGATTCTTCTTCTTATGCAAAGAAGAATACCATTTGCAATTGTTAAACGTAAGCCACAATAAACTAGAATACATCGATGATAATGCTCTCAATGATCGAATGACGAAACTGAAGATATTAGATCTTTCTTTCAACAAGCTCACTGTCGTCAACGAGACCATGTTACAACATCTAACGGTAATGTTACAGAATTTTTTAATTCTCTCCTAAAACATTTCAAATTTTCTCAAGGAGATTATTTGTGAAATTGATTTTTTACCACTTTTTGCACATTCGCATGTCACACAACTGGAAAAGAATTTTTTTTCAGATTCTGGAGTATTTGTCTTTGTCCTATAATCCCATAGGGGATGGAATTCACGAAAATGCTTTTTGGAATTTAAAGGCATTAAAACATCTAGACCTGAGTAACATATCCGCGCCATACTTTTTATCAAATTTCTTCAAGACCTTGACAAACTTGTCGACTTTGGATCTATCTTGGAACCCGATCAGTGCGATACCTTTATTACCGATAAATTTACAAGAGTTGGATTTATCTGGCACGCAAATGATAAGTTTTGAGAACCTATATCTACCGCAGTTACAAGAATTGCGGCTAAACCACATGCCGAATTTGACATCGCTGGCACTGAATGATCTCGAGAATCTGACCAGTCTGGAGACGTTATCATTGATCGGTTCCAAACGGTTGGTCTTACTTAATCTTTGGTCGCAAATCGGCATCGTGCTACCACGATTGCAGCGACTTTCGATAAAAGACTGCGGCCTCAAAACCTTGACTGTTGAGCTGCGTCCTTTGATACAACGAACACCCGTTGTTGAATTAGAAAACAATCCTTGGGAATGTGACTGCAACTTGGAATGGATTGGCCTGTTGAATTCGACTAGGAATCTCAGTCGAGACATTAGGTAAGATATCGACGAAGATATTACTCTCAGTTGATAAGAGTTGCCAATCAAGCAAAAGCAAAATTTAAATGTTTAATATTCGCTTTCTTGAATTTATTCCAATTATTTATATTATTTTTTAAAATAAATATCATAAATATCTCTTTTACATCTCGATAAAAATGTAATATAAATATAACGACAATATCATGCACTGTTCATCAAGCTTCAATTTTATTTCTTCAGATGTCTCGAGAATTTCCGTGTGAAGAAATTCTTTTCCTATTATTACGAGATCAATTTTATTAATAATAAATTCAATCTTTATAATATATTATTAATTTCTTATCTCAAAGTAATATATAAAAAAAATGTGAATATTATAACTACTACTGCAGTGTATTTTTTGACGATATTTTATCATTGAAAGATATACTCGCGAATACAAGGACATAATCAATCATTTTGTTAAACTTGTACGACAGATGCCATGCACCAGATCGACATCATGCCAAACTCCTGGCTGAAATCCTGAAATATGAGCTGCAATGTGAATACAACACGTCCGTCATCTATCCGATCCTGTGGACAGGCTTCTCGATATTGATCGTTGCCATGATCGTAGCCACGGTTTTGGTTCTCCTCAGACGGCCAATAAGCCAATGGAGCTTCAAGGGAAGGAACGGGGATACCGTCACGTACAAAAACGTTGTGGAGTCGAACAATGATCTGGTCCGAATACTGGCGGTGTCCGAGACGCACGAACGCAACGAAGAATGAAGCCAAATTGAAAGTGGAAAGAGAAAGAACAACACAGACGAGTGGACGGAAAAATCGTCCGCTAACAGCGGACATTTCAGCAAGTCTTTTTGCAAAAAGCTTTATTGTAACGTTACCTTGTAACGTAAAATATCGTAATTGCGATGACCACCCATGGAAGTCGTCCTAAAAGATTATCTTATTGTTTTCTTTTTCACGTAGGTGGAATACGTTGGTTCACAGCATGTAAATAGAACAAATGTTGATTTAAGGTATTTTAAGTAAACAATATGGAAATTAAGTTTCTTTGAAATATTAAAAATTATTTTTTTTCTGTAACGATAAGATTAAAATTTTCGAAAAGGATTGCACACAAAAAGAATGATTTGAAGTATCCAAAATTTAGCTAAATACAAATCTGAAAATGATTTTGTTAAGTAGTCAAAATATTGTAATTATGTATCTCAAGCATGATGATCGATGCTGCAAAAAGTTTTTAACAATTAATTTGAGTGTCCTACATTATTTTAACGATCTAACAAAATTATTTCAGATCTGTTTATTCTGTATCTAATTAAATTTTCAGATATTTCAGCAAGATCATCCTTTCTATGCAATAAGTCTAAAGCTGATTCCTATGCCGATAGGTAACGAATTATCTACATTATTATTATTATTATTATTATCTGTATACAAACGTATACAGATCTAAATGAAGTATAATCGAATGAGAAAAGTTTCTCAGGCCTCGTGAACTCAAATGATTAAATTCAATGATCATATTCGAATTCTCGAACAGCATTCCCAGTGTCCGATAATAAAAACTGAAACCTCTGTAGTCGAATAAAACATTTGTGTCTCTTTTTTTCTAGCGGTAAGAATTGGCGTTTTGAAAACCCCTTTACCTTTGTTCCACACGGCGCGTCCGTTGCCGTAGCACAAAAGAAAAGCGGATACAAAGAACGCAATGGCTCATTTGCTCTGAATGACGGTAAGATCCTCTCTTCCGCGTAACGACGCGGCAACGCGTGGCAGTACGCACGAATTATCGTGCGTGGCATCTTGAGAACGCGCACTCAACTAATTGAAATGCTACGAGATTCCGCCAGAACGGGTTCCATTCCCGGTAACCTTCCGATTGACGGGCAAAAAGAGCCTTTTTCACAATTGAAGTCATCCTTGAATGTTTCGTTTCGACGTACCGTCTTCGAAGAATAATAAAAGATATTTCTCGAGTATCGTTCGCTTCAAAGAACAGATTATTAATGATCGAGTTTAAAACTTCTCTCGCCGCGAAACGTAAAAAAGAAATAAACTTTTATAAATTTATCGATGGCTATATATTGTACCATATGCCTATACATTTATATGAATACATACCTAATATTTCTATGAATGCAGTCGTTCAAAATTCACATAAAAGTCATGATGACATTTGTGTTAATCATAAATTGGTCTCAATTTTTAATATAAAAATACTAATATAAACTAATATAAAAATACTAATATAAACTAATATAAAAATACTAATATAAAAATACTATTAGAAATTTTTGACCAATCAAAAATTTAGTTATTATATTCAATTATCATTAGATATGCAATGTTACATCTAGTAGTTTTACATCATGTTGTACAGTACATAAAAAAAAAAATATTTTTAATTATGATCATGGTTAACATTAATGTTTATTTCGATATCCATAATAATCCAGTCTTGTGTCACAATGAGGACGATCGCAATTCCATCAAACCTTTCGTATGCACTCGCCGACATAGCGGTCGTTGATGAAACGTTAAAGTGTAGGGCGTTACGCGTTCTGTTCCAAGAAGGGGCACAATATTGGCGTGTTATGCGATGAGCCAGCAAATGGTGCTATGAAGATCGTCAGTTTACGTGACGTGCACCATGATCGCGTGCGATGTAGCGATCAGCCTTTGTATCGAAGTATGATCTTCCTATGGGAGAACCTATTAGGTTACGCTCGAGCAGAAAGAGAGAGCCCCCCACGGGCGAGGATGTCGTATTACCGGGGGAGTCACAATATGCAAAGAGAGGAGCGCAAGAAATCACTAAGGAAGAGATGCGCCTTCCGTTGATCGGAAGCCTGCGATTACAACTCTCCATGTTGGATTTATGCCTATGTAGATATACAGGCTTCTTTTTATTAATTCCTCAACACGCTTTTTTTACGTAAACAAACTATATGTAGATATCTACCTGTTCCTTATCCTTATATATATATAACTTTTTATTACTATTAATTTACTTGCAGTTTATAGCATTGAGTTTATATTTTTTTATTGAACAAGAATTGTCTTTTCTTTATTGTAAAAGGATT